AGGTAAATGTTCAACTCATATGCCTGTCTTTTGTTTGGCTGGAAGCCACAGGCGTGGGTTCAATTCCAGACCTGAAGGACACCTAGGGGCCATAGTCTCAGTGGTTCCACCAGGCTCTATCAGACCTGGTCCTCTCCCCCACCCCCAATGATTTTGATTTTTGTTCCACATTGTTCTCCCTTTCTATCCAGGATCTCCTACATAGTTCCCCCTCTGAGTGGTTGACAGTGGTAGCTGGGCACCATCTAGTTCTTCTGGTCTCATAGTCATATAGGCTGCAGATCACATGGTATACTAGTCCTTTTTGATCTTGTATAGTGCTTGTTCTGAGGAGCATGTTCCTCCCAGATGTTATTGTTTACTTTATAAGCCTGTCAATTGTTTGGCTGAAAGGTGATCGCTGGGAGTGGATTCAGTTCCATACTTGATGGGTATCTAAAGGCCATAATCTCAGGGCTTCCACTAATTCTGTCAGACCAGTAAGTCTGGTTTTTTTATGATTTTGAATTTTACATTTTTCTTCCACTCTGTCCAGGACCTTGTACTGTGATCAGAGTGGTCAGTAGTGGTAGCCCTATATCATCTAGTTCTTCTGGTCTCAGGTTAGTGGATGCTGTGGTTCATGTGGTCCATTAGTCCTTTGGATGAATTGTTTCCTTGAGTATTTTATTTTTTTCTACTCTTCTTTGGGTGAATAATGATTTAAAAAGACTAATTAAATTCTATAATAACCCAGTTGTTAAATCATAATCACCTGGCAATGTTCTCTCTCTCCTTTTTTTTTTTTTTTAAAAAAAAATAGATTATAGAGACAGCTGCTAGTGAAACAAAAGGAGAGACAGAAAGCATGAGTTGAAAGTACATCAAGTCCAATGTAATCCATTACTGCCCCACAGCTGCTCTGTATTAAAACAAATGTAAAATTGATATTCACATGATGTCTATATACTTAGCAAGTACTTAAAATATATAGTCTTAGCTTAATAATAGTTAATACTGATCGAACTCTACCTGTACACTGGATATTTCCTAAACACTTTATACTTATTAACTTATTTAATCTTCACAACACTATGAGGAAAGTTTTCCTTTTTTATGGACACAAAGGCACAATCACTTGAATTACTTGAATTCTGCCTGAGATTTAGTAAATTGTTCTAAGTCATGTAATTATTATCCGTTGGAGCCAGATTTAAAACCAAGTAGTTAAGTTCCAGTCCCTTGCTACCATCCCAAGAGGGACCGGGTCTCCGGGAGCAAGGTAAGCACAGGTGAGCTGGTGCTTACTCACTGATCTGCACTGAACACTTTCCCTTGTTACCCTCCCGAGAGGGACCGGGTCTCCGGGAGCAAGGTAAGCACAGGTGTACCACAGAGTAGCAGGCCGGAAGAGCAGGAGAAAGGGGTAAAACCCAGTCACTAGTGCTCAGACGGCTCCCTTGTAACCCTCCTGAGAGGGACCGGGTCTCCGGGAGCAAGGTAAGCATGGGCGGGCTGGTGCTTACTCACTGATCTGCACTGAACACT